CCCGTTGCTCGGTCCCTGCTCCTGCCAACCTAGCAGTTTGAAAGCATGTCAAAGTGCAAGTAGATAAATAGGTACTGCTCCAGCGGGAAGGTAAACGGCGTTTCCGTGCACTGCTCTGGTTCGCCAGAAGTGGCTTAGTCATGCTGGCCACATGACCCAGAAGCTGTACGCCGGCTCCCTCGGCCAATAAAGTGAGATGAGCGCCGCAACCCCAGAGTCGGCCACGATTGGACCTAATGGTCAGGGGTCCCTTTACCTTTAAAACTGGCTTCAGAACTGTTTACAATGTCTGGCAGTAGCTCTCCTGGATTCCAGAGAGGGAACATTCCCAAGCCAATATGGAGAAGTTGGGGGTTGAACCTGGGACCTTCTGCATTCAAAGCAGTTGCTCTACCACTGAGTTATGACCTTTCCCCATAGCAGGAGAGTGGGGTGGTAGTGGCAAGGTTGCCTGGCCATGGCGCTCTGGATTTCTTGCAGTCTCTACCAGCCACCTCCCCAATTCTGATGCTGAGGAAGGAGGAAGGGATGTCCCCGTGTAGCTGCCAGGATGATCTCTGCCTGCAGCTTCAAATTTGCGAGGAGGGCTGGTCTCTTCTGCACCCTCTCCAGAGGGTGGCACCATGCATGGCAGGTGGAACCGTCTAAACCTGTGTTGTGGGCACCTGCGCCAGGAGGGCAAGCGAAAGGGAGGAACAGGATTCCCAGGCTCTTGCAGAGGCAAGTGAAGTCCTGTCGATGACAGCAGCTCCACACTCTTGTCTTCTCCTTTTCCCCCCAGACCAAACACCTCCTCCTCCACCCGAGTCCCGCGCTGGAGGCCCTGCGTTGCCGGATGCTCCTGCCCTGCAGAACCAGGTGGAACCTCTCCAGAACCAACAGCATCACGCGAACCCTGTGGAGCACTGATGGGTGTGGTTGTGGGGAGTTAGGGGTGCCTTTTCCTCTTCTTTCCCCATCCCCTTTTCCCCTGGAGCTCCCAAATCCAAACTTTCCCCGGTACCATGGGCAAAGGGAATAGGCAAGAGATCTCTCCTATCGCAGAAAACTGTGGGAAGAATCTTTAATGGAAGCCCTGCCCCTGAACCAGTGTCTGCCCACTCCTCTTCTGGTCGCACACAAGAGAAAATAATTACGGGAGCTGTTAAAAAGCAACAACGCACACACATAAATCCTCCCCTTTTTAAAATTTAACCGAACGGGGCCCTCTGCTTCTCTTTAGCCGCAATGAGCCTCTGAGGGAGCCCTTAGTGGGGCTCTAATGAGGGAGGTGGAGGAGTGTTTGCCATGGAGGACGAGCAGAGGGAGGGAGAAGAAGCTGAGTGAGAGACCAGCACCACACCTGCCCTGGTCACTTTCTACTATGTTCCTGGATGCACTGGGGGGGAAATCAACAGGATTGGGGGACATGATGTCTCTCTTGCTGATGTCAGTATTGTAGACTTGGGCCACTACTTTCCTCCTTTTCAAAAGTTGATTCCTTTATAATGGGATTGCAGTGCTGAACCTTTTTTTATTTTTAATTATTTGGGCCCTTGTATTTAAATAAAGCTCTCAAAACACCTCTGATTTCCAGTGACTTCTCTTGCTTCCTTCTGTAGGAGCTTATCTCAATGGACATACTTCTGAGAAAGTCCCACTGTGTCCAGTGGGGTCTTAAGGGAAAGAACAGCAAAAATTGCTCTGAGTCTCAGTGTCTGTATCAGTCGGGGGCCACAGGCTGAGGTTGAGCCATCCTTACTTTACAATAAATAAACTGTGTAGATGTGTGTATATCCACCCTGGTCATACACACCCTCCATGCCAGTGGTTGCATCCCGACCTCCACATGGAATCTAGAAAGTTGCCTTGTACTGGGTCAGACCATTGGCTCATCTAGCTCAGCACTGTCTGCATGGACAGGCAGCAGCATTCCAGGCAGGGGGGTCTCTCCCAGCCCTACCTGGAGATGACAGGGATTGAACCCAAGACCTTGTGCGTGCAAAGCGGATGCTGTAACCATTGAGATACAGCCTGGCCCCTGTTGTTCCTGAGTGGTCATGTGGTAAATGCGGGCAGAGCATTTATCCACAGTCACTTCTTAAGAGGCCTCCTGTGTGTGCAACTGCTTCCTGCAACAGTAGCACCATGGAGGGGGCAGAAATGAAGGCAGGAACTGGGGTCCAATGCAGCAAGACTTTGGAAACGGTTGCAGAATGTCAGGGGTTGAAACTCTTTGGCATGTCCCCTGCATGCATCAGCCCTGAGTGCTCACTGGAAGGACAGATCGTGAAGCTGAGGCTCCAATACTTTGGCCACCTCATGAGAAGAGAAGACTCCCTGGAAAAGACCCTGATGTTGGGAAAGATGGAGGGCACAAGGAGAAGGGGACGACAGAGGACGAGATGGTTGGACACTGTTCTCGAAGCTACCAGCATGAGTCTGACCAAACTGCGGGAGGCAGCGGAAGACAGGAGTGCCTGGCGTGCTCTGATCCATGGGGTCACAAAGAGTCGGACATGACTAAACGACTAAACAACAACCTGCATGCAATTTGGGCAGAGGGAAGGCTTGTACGTGGCCTGTTTTTTTAAAAAAGTTTTTATTGGCAATTTCAACATACCAAAACCTATATTATTTTCCCCCCCAACCCTCCCTCCCCTCCCCCAGAGACTTCCCTCAGCTCCTCTGATTTCTCAGCCCATATTATTCTCTGCATATTGTAAAGTTATACAAATCCTTACATTAGCTGTCTACCATGTTGTATGTGGCCTGTTCAAATGGGCCAAAGCGCAGGCCTGTGCCAGCTGCCATCACGTGCCCAGGTGAGTAGCCTTAACCCACTATCTCATTTCATAGGCAGTCTCTCCCCTGGATGGAAAATAATGTGGGTGTCACAGAGAGCAACCTGTTCCTTCCCTGAGTTGTGCAGTCTGCTCTTGAGCTCCACCCACGTGCGTCTCATGTGCCCTGTGGTTTCATGCATCTGCTTTCGATGTGTTACCTTCCTTCCTTCCCTCCCCATTTAGAAATGCACCATAGGGCCAGTCCCCACCTGCACTCTACATGTAAAGCAGCATTGCACCACTTTCAGTGACCCCCAAAGCATCTTGCGAAGGTTGGTTTGTTAAGGATGCTGCTGAGGGTTGTTGAGACCCCCCATTCCCCTCACAGAGCGACAGTTCCCTGGGAAGAGGGGTTGACTGTTCCCTCTTTGGATGTCAGGCTCCTGCTTCCATCAGATCCAGGCAACATGCCCAGTGGCCGGGGATGATGGGAGTTGGGAGTCCAAGAAGCTACAGCAGGAGTGAAGAACCTTTACCCAGATGTTGCTGAACTAACCCCCCCCCAAAAAAAAATCATGGCCACTGACCGTGCTTGCAAGGCTGACAGGAGTTTTCATTTAACAAGTTTGCCTTCTGCATAGCAAAAGTCTACCTTTGGGTTTCATAGAACCAGATCTTTCTTTTTCTTGTCCTCTCGCACTAGGCCGAACAGTGTGGTACCAACAGGCTGCCATCTTGCTTAACTATTTACCTCACAAAACCCATCCACCACCCTCAACTCAACAGGACAGAAGCTCAAGTTATTTCTAGTAGGTGCTGGCTTCAGTTTGCCAGTCATTTATTTTTAAGGCCTTGTGAGTCAGTGCCCTTTGGTATGCAAGACTGCATTCCTAAGCCATGAGAGAACAGAAACGTCATCCATCATAAGGTTGTTTGCGAAGAGCTGATACTGTTCTGGCTGTTTTCTTACTCCAGTGGCTTTTTCCTTCCTCTTTTGTGTAAACTTGGAAGTTCTGCCTACTTGGCAGGCTTAAAACTAGGTTCCGATTTGACAGTTCCAGGAAATAAAATCCGGGGAGGGAGGAGAGCAAGGGACCCAAATGGGAGAGATTGCTTGGCTTTCATCCATTATTTTACTCTGTCTGTTGCCACTATCCTAAATAGCATCAGGGGTGAGGAACAATTCAAACTGAGGGCCACATTCACCACTGGGCAACTTTCCATGGGCCACATTTCTGTGGTAGGTAAGGGCAAAATTAGGCTGAGGAACAAATTTAGAGAGGCTAGGAGACCCAACTTTAGGGCCCAGTGCCTGACACCCCTATTCCCCGTCCCACAGCTACAATTCTCAAGAGGGTCAATCCCTTTTCCCAGGGATCCATTGAGAAGTGTAGAGCTCTGAGGGTAATAAGGGTCTCCTAACAACACTTGGCACCTGTAACCTACAGTTCTCAGGATACTTTGGGGGAAGCCATGACTGTTTAATGATGCTGCTTCACTTAAGAATGTTGATGGGGCTTCAGAGGGAAAGTAGCAGCAGGCTTGGGGGAAATCTCAGGCTTTGCAGAAATACCAAAAAATTAAGTGGGAGTGGGGGATTGCCACCCTACACTTTCCTGTGATTTCCACCCTGCCATCACTTTATCACATAAAGTCTGATTTTGAGATACAGCTTTTGAGGCATGTTTGTTGCTCAAGACACCCCTATCCCCCTGGAGAATAAACTAGTGGGTGCTTCTAGTCACAAATAAGGGGTAAACACGTGTTGTGGGGAGACTTCTGAAATCAGCCTTCAATATTACATTTTCAATAACCAAGATGATGATGAGGGAATACACAGTCATAGCTGTAATATTTTTTTATTATTTAAAAAAGTAATAATTTGTGGACAGATAAATTATACATACAGACATCAAGTCTCCGCTCCATCCTGGGAGTTCACATCACCATTACTAATAATTTAATACATATTTTGAAATTAGGGGGGGGGGGAGAAATCTCAAAGGCTTGCTTTGAAAGATAACTAGCATGTAAAATAGAAATACATTAGGAAACCTTGTGAAATTCTGTCCACTTAACATCATGTGTAAACTAGAGCAGTGTTTCCCAACCTTTGGCCTCCAGCTGTTTTTGGACTACAATTCCCATCATCCCTAGCTAGCAAGACCAGTGGTCAGGGATGATGGGAATTGTAGTTCAAAAACAGCTGGAGGCCCAAGGTTGGGAAACACTGAACTAGAGCATGCGCATAACACACTTGAGTGTCCACCAGGGCCACCAATTCCTCATGTTATGCTACACACATTGTAGACTAAAGGCCTGGCAGCCACGTCCTTCAAATCAACTGAGGTAGTAGCAGCTTTACATCAGTGCATTTATTCAGAAATATCAGAGCACAGAAGCTCTTGCTCCTCACGGCAACCTCAGGGCCCCACTTCATCCTGAGAGAATGTGGATTTCAGGCCCAGAATTAAATCTTGCAACATCTCACACACAGGGCCCTCCTTTCAGACCCATGAGCCTCCCCTTACGATCTCCAGTGTTTAAAAAAAGGATTCAATTTGGTTCTCAAAACCTCAGAAGCCTGTATATGTATCTCTAATGGACGGTTTACTTCATGGCTGCCATATCTTGAAGAGCCATTTCATTCCTGACTTAATCTGGAGGCACAGCTTAATCTGCCTCAGCAGAACCAGAAAGGAGAGGGGAGCTGTCGTTGCCTTCTTCTTCCTGAACCCCATAGATCTCCCTCCAAGCTTTGGCCCGGTGTTCTGCCCTCAGGCAAGGCTCCAAGATGGCTCCCACTTCAGCAATCCTCCGGCGGAAGCGGCATCGGTCGCGGGCCATTTCTTCCCAGGGGCCACGGCGGGCGGCCCGAGACGCGTAGCTCCAGGCCACCAGCGGGTGAACAGTCACCACCGGAGAGAATCGGACCTGAGGAAATTGAGAGGCTATGAGGATAGTGGGACAGGTATCTTCTTGCTCTTACGCAAATTTATGCCAACACTACTAATTAATTGGTTAGACCTCATACAGTTAACAGGTTGGGTTTTTTCGTCATGTAATGGCCCTGCTGAATCCTACTGTCTTTTCTCAGCTAAACAAGCTGAGAAAAGCCAAATATCACGTTTTAAGGGACAGCCATCCTTGTGCTCCAGGGGTTGGGAAGCTGCTTCTCTCCAGATGTTTCAGGATGTGCAACAGGTTATCATCCTGGCTGTAACCATTCTAGCCAAGGACAGGGAAGAACAGCCTTGTGTTGTCCCTAGTTTTAGTCCACTTCCTTTTCTGTGGATACTGAATCAGGACCTTGATTTAAACTTGCCCGAGGCAGGAGAGACGATGCAAACCACCTCTTACTCCTATTTAGACACCATACTTGAAAGCCAGTGTGACAGAATAATAGAACTGGAGAGTTAGACGGGACCCCAAGAGTTATCTGGTCCAACCCCCTGCGATGCAGGAATCTCTACCAAAGCATCCAGGACAGATGGCCATTCAACCACTGCTTAAAAACCTCCCAGGAAGGAGAGTTCACAATCTCCCAAGGGAGACCGTTTCTCTGTTGAACAGCTCTTACAGTGTCAGAAGTGTTGCAGTAGGACCTGGGAGCCCAGGGTTCAAATCCCCTACCAAGCCATGAATTTCACCTTGGACCAATCTGCTGCTCAGACTAAACTACCTCACAGGGTTGTTATGCGGATTAAATGAGAAGGGGCGAAACCATGTACACCATCTTGAGCTTCTTGGAGAAAACAAAGCGGGATATAAACACTAACAATATATTATCTATTATTTTTATTTACCATCTCAAGTGATAGGTGTGTGGAAGCTGGCTGTGGCTGCTCAAGAGTAAGGCAAAGGCGCACTCGACCCATGCTCAGAGGAACACTTTTCCACGACTCCTTGAGTTCCATTGCTAATCTCTAGCTGCGTCTTGAGCATCGCTTTGGGTTTCACACAACTGTGGGCACTGCACACAGTTGCATTTCCAAGCTGGAGGAAGAGAGGCTGTATACAGCTGAGTCCTACTCAGAGTAGACCCACTAAAATGAACCCAAGTTGGTCATATTAATTAACTTCAATGAGTCTACTCTGAGTAGGACTAGCAACCCTAGGTTTCTGCTGTGGGTGTCCACTTTGCATTGTTCTTAAATTCATCTTGTTATTTTGTGTGCTGCTGTTCTTCTTATATTTGGGGCATTTGTGGAAGGTGACTAAGCAAATGACTAAGCTCAGCTTCCAATAGATCTGCCAACACTCTGTGGACAAAAGGAGGGAGGGGGAACAGCGAGAGGAAGGCAGGGGAGTCCTGTCTGCTGGGAAATGACCCAGCCTTACATCATCCACTTCCTGGTTGGTCATGTTGCATGATAGGGATGTTACACGATATTTCAGGATGGGCAAAACCAACAGCAGGACGGGGGAGGCCAAGGAGCATTAAGGAGATTCCAGGGTGGTGCTAACGGAACAAGGTGGGGTGCAGAAAGTAAAAACTGAGCACAGAGTAAGGTATCTTTAGAATGGGAGAGAAGGCAGCTTAGAAAAGGAGAATGGGAGTAGCCAGGATTTATGTAAGGGGGGAAGGCTACATGTTGGGGGAGCAGAACCCAACATTATTGATTTACTTGATTTTAATCTTTGTTGGAAGCTGCCCAGAGTGGCTGGAGAAGTCCAGCCAGATGGACGGGGTACAAATTATTATTATTATTAATTATTATTATTATTATTGGGGACAGCCCCTTTCTCCCTGCGCAACAGCCATACAGTGGTACCTCTGATGACGAACTTAATTCGTTCTGGAGTTTCGTTCTCAACTCGAAACTGTTCTTAACCTGAGGCGTGCTTTCGCTAACGGGGCCTCTGGCGCGTGATTTCTGCTCACATCCAGGGGCAAAGTTCACAACCAGGAGCACCTACTTCCGGGTTAGCGGAGCTCGTAACCCGAAGCATTCGCAAGGAGGACGGTTTGTAACCAGAGGTATTACTGTTCAGTTCTCACCCCAAGACACACACAGCATGCTCACTTTTCTTCCTTTGAGGAAGAAAATCCCTGTGAATACATAATTTCAACAGATGGAGCTTTTCCCATCGCTCCAACTCAGGCTGATTCTTTAAAATGGTTTAGAGCTACAGTATCACAAGAAACACTTTGTTCCCTGCTATGACCATACTGTGCCTATCGAGACCACCAGAGTACCTAAGCTAGGCATCCTTCACCCTGTGAGATGCCCCCTTCCAGGGGGGTTTTAAAACAGCTTTTCAGTTCATCAGCTAAGATTTCAAACCGCTCTTATCTATTGAGGCTGACAGAAAGAATTGTTTATCATTGTAAAAGACTGTCTGAGATGCCTTCAATTGTTTTAAAAAACTTGAAAAGTTTTAAAAATTGTTTTAAAAAACTTGAAAAGCAGGAAGAGAGTTATTTTAATTAATTTATGTAAACAAAAGCTATACCTGTTTAATTTCTGCCTTAACTTCAGCTGTCAAAAAGGGCACAGGGTGGGGTGGGGAACAGCTTCTGTAACACCCAATTTTCTACTCATAACCACTGTTGTGTAAACATAGTAGTTATACACAGCAGTTAAGTGATAAAATTAGGAAGACTTCCTGAAACATTTGTGAATGAAATGGGCAACTCTAATCCAGGCTAGTAATTGTGAGGGGCAGAACCAAGGGCGTTAGCAATTCCTAATTATGGAATCTCTCTCTCTCTCTCTCTCTCTCTCTCTCACACACACACACACACACACACGTTTCTGAACTGTCTCCCTCAAGACTCATCCTCTGGAGAACCTAGGGGTTCTGGTTAGTCCACACACAAAGTATTTAAAGCAACTCACCTTCTTAATCACCTGGTTTGCCTCCTGGGAAACTGATGACACTTCTGTGGTCACAGGATCAGAGTTTTCCTCAGAGTCTGGCTGGCAACATTTCTGAGCTGGATGCCTGGAGGAAACTCTTGGATTCCACTTGAAACGTGGTCGCGTTGGTGGATTACACAGCTCCTCAGGCTTAGAATCCAGCCTTGTCTGATAAAAGGTGACCGTGATTTCCTTGTGCTTCTTGGCCTCAGGCTGAGGGGCAGATGTGGGGGCTTGAATGGGCTTGGAAAAGCAGAGTGCGTGGAAAGGGTTGTTGCTTGCAAAAAAAGATTCGCAGAGGCTCTCCAATACATCCTGATGCAGAGAGCCTGCTTCCGCTTCCAGACGGTTCTCCCCATTCCCCGAGTGCCCTCCAGACTGAACGCTCTCTTCCATCTCGTCTTCGCTCCACCAGTCCTCTGAATCGTCACTGCCATCCTCCTCTTCCTCTGATGGACTGTAGAACAAGGATAGGACAAGGGGGCTTTTGGAAACACAGGGGGCTGAGTTGAACACACCCTTATCTCCACCTTTCTTGTATTCTCCTATCTCTTCCCCATCATTTGGCGAATCAGATGGACTTTGCCCATCACGCATCACCAAATCCCCACGAGATCCCAGGCCCTCCTCGTTTCCCTGGGAAGCGGAGGTACTTTCCAAACAAAAGCCCCCTCCAAAATCCTTTAACTCTCCGCGGTGGCTACAGGAACCTTCCACATTCTCCCTACAGTATCCGCCAATATTCAATCCTTTCACCAATGCTTGTGGATGGCAACAATATTCCAGCCATTTCTGGGGGGAACTCCCAAGGTTCTCTCTGCCTTCCAACGCCATGTCTTCTTCTGAAGAAACATCCCAGTCATTTCCAAGGTCGTAGGCAATGGAAGTGCTGATCAAGTACGGTTCAGAAACGCCATCCTCTTCCAAACGCATGCTATCCATTTTGGATGGACCATTAGAAGCAGGCAGAAGCAGTGCCAGGTCCTCTTCAAAATGTCCGCCTTCAGCCAAGCTTTCCGTATCCCTTTGAGGGTAACACTTGTGACCGTCCAGGGAAAAGTACCCTAGACGGGCAGCTTTCAAGTTTTGCCCCTCCATTTTGCTTTCTTCTCTTCCAAGTTCCTCCCAAGTTCCTCTTAAGAGTTGCTTCGTCTTCCCTAAGATGGGCATTGTCCCCTTGGCAATGCCCATCAACACAGCCCTCACCAGGGTGGCAGGGCTATTCTGCCAGAGGTGCAACCACCTCCTCACCCAGTCCAGAGCAATCTGGGCCATACGTCCAAGAATCACGGCCACCATGTTGAACTTGCCAGCAGGGCTGGACCGGCTCGATTCGGCAGGGAGGATTTTAGCCATTCTGAGCCTGAAGGGGTCACAGCAAACCAACAACCTCTCTGTGTCTGAGGGGGGTGATGTCAGTTGGCTGGATGTGATGTGAGGGGGCATCTTAGACCTGAAAAGAAGCAAAATGAAAATAAGCCACCGGCTATTAAAAATCTGAAAGTGGTGCTGGGGAAAGCCCAGAGAGTCAGATTCCAATATGCTTTGTTTTGCTGCATTATAGGAAGGGGGTCAGACTTAGGCCCCATCTGCACTATACATTAAAGTAATAGGATACTGCTTTCAAACAGCTCCCCCCCCCGAGAATCTTGGGAACTGTCATTTGTTGAGGGTGCTGATAATTGTTTGGAGAACACCAAGCCATCTCACAGAGGTACAGATTCCCAGAGTGGTTTAACAGTCAATCCCTCTTGCCAGGGCACTCAGGGAATTGCAGTTCTGTGAGGCAAATATTGTGTGTGTGTGTGTGTGTGTGTGTGTGTGTGTGTGTGTGTGTGTGTGTAGAAGAGAGGGAGAGAGAGTGTGTCCTAAAAAACCTCAGCCCCCTTAAACTACACTTCCCAGAATTCTTTGGGGAAAGCCATGACTATTTAAAGTGGTATGATACTGCTTTAATATACAGTGGTACATTATGTACGTAATTCGTTCCGGAGGTCCATTCTTAACCTGAAACTGTTCTTAACCTGAAGCACCACTTTAGCTAATGGGGCCTCCCGCTGCCGCTGCGTGATTTCTGTTCTCATCCTGAAGCAAAGTTCTTAACCCGAGATACTATTTCTGGGTTAGCGGAGTCTGTAACCCGAGGTACCACTGTATAGGGCATATGGGAGCTATTTGTGCCTCTAGTTCAGCGTTGTCTTCTTTCAACTGGCAATAGTTGGCCAGGGTTTCATCTCCACTACCTGGTCCTTCCCTCACCGCCCACATTTTCCTTTTTTCCTGGAGATGCCAAGGATTGAATCTAGGAAGTTCTTCCTGTAAAGCATTTCATTTACCACTAAGCTGTAGTCTCTCCTGTAAGCAAGACATTTAAAACACACAGAGGAGATACAAAACCTGAAACCTATCAGGAATCCACCTGAAAGGCCTGTTCCCTTAATCCAGAGTGTGGAAGAACAGGTTGTTTATACTTGAGTTGTGAAGTATTTATTACTTATTTATATGGTATTTTATATGCTGCTTAATTTCTAAGCTGTGAGTAAAGGCCTTCTGTGTGTAACCAGGGCTGCTATGACTAAGCCCAGTATGGACAGAGACTTGGCACCAACAACAGATTCTGGAATGAAGGCCTTAGGCAAGAAATGCCCTGAAGGAGAATGGGTTATGGTATCAGTAGCAAGTAGCACCCTTCCCCGATTGATATTGCATTTTTGGGAGCTCAGAGTGTATGTATTATTTGTTCCAAGCAATATAATGATATGTGCAATGGCAGGCTGCTGTTTTTTTTGGAGGTTGTTTGAGGGCGGAATATGAATGGTTTCAGTGTTTGTTTAACTGTTCTTAACAAGAAATCCTTGGGTGAGTGTTTTCTTTTGTAACGAAGTATTTTTTTTAAAAAAAGTTAAAAATAAGAGGAAACTTTAATACACACCTTAGCTTTGTACACAACACACATTTAAAGCATCCCCCCCACACACAAAAGCCTGGGAATTGTTACCAGTCATAGAACTTACAGTTCCCAGCACCATTAACAAACTACAGTTCCCAGGATTCTGGGATGTGCTTAAAATGTATGGTGTGTACGCACTCATGAAGTGGATTAGGAAAAGCCCAACTAAGAATAAGACTGTGGAGTAAAATAGGAGGTAGGAAGTTAAGGCACGGGGCAGGAATCCTGCACTTCTAGGCCCTTATGCCCACATTCCAGCAAGATTACTTCCGCCCCCTATGTGTGCCTCAGTTTATCTCTCTCTTTTTTTCCTATGGGTTGTTTTCCTGGCTTGGATGTGTAGGTTGATTTAATCCAGGGCGCGCCCCAAACAAGCTCAAGCAAGTGCCCCTGGAACGCTGGCAACACCCCAGTCCGGAAGCAGAAAGGGGGGGAAATAACACAACACACACACACAGTCTGGATTCCGGGTGTGCAGCTGTCGGGGAGAGAGGAAGAACAGCAAACCTTCTGACCCACAACAGGTTAGAACGGGAAATGGTGGGTAGGGGGAGAGGAAGGGAGGGGAGGGGAATGTTCATTTGAAGATTTCCAAATGCCCTCAAAGCAAAAAGATGCATGGATTCCCAGGATTGTGGGACAGCAGCTGGAGAGCACCCCGCTTTTGACAGTGATCTTAACGATCAAAGTCCTCCTCTAAAACAGGAAGGGGGCCCATTCAGAAATAGACCCCGTCCCTGTCATACAAGACAACTGTCACACTCTTCAGGGTTATAGCTGAGGATATTCCTAACGTGAAGTACTGTAAATATTAAGTTTGGGGTAGGGGTGCCGAAAGAGAGAACAACAGTGGCAGTAACAACCTCATTGGCATTCATCCTAGTCTGGTAGGTAGGATGGGATATTTTTGAAAATGTGGAGCGAAAAGGAAATGGTGCAGTTTCTTAACTAGGTGTGCTAGGGAAGGTAGAAACCAAAGGAGGGTGAAGTTCAGTTTCTGCTTTCTGGCCTTCCCTAGGAATTCGGTATTGGGGGAAGTGGAAAATTGTGGCAGTATGAGGGCAGAGGAACAGAAAACGAAATCTTGGAAGAGCTCAAAAAGAGGAGTGGATATAACTAATGCATTTTTACAAAGGGGAGGGGAGGTCTGGGGTGCAGGTTAATGGGGGGAATGACCCCCCAAAATGCAAAAGAGGACATAGAGGCATAGATAAGATACATAAGGCTATTGTTTTAGGACTAGCAGTGCCACAATTTGGGGGAGGAGGGGTTCAACATAAAATAAGGATACTTTTTTAAAAAAGAACAGCAAAAATATAGAATATTTGTTACTGAATCTTGAGGAAACTACTGGAATGGGGTATCTGGAGATGGATAATACTGGGGTATAGATTTGGGGCAGGGCACGAAGACACCATTCTGAGCCCCGCACATAGCTGTCAACTTTTCCCTTTTCTTGCGAGGAATCCTATTCGGAATAAGGGAATTTCCCTTTAAAAAAGGAAAACGTTGACAGCTATGGACCCGCATTAAGCGGGATGTGAGGTCGATCTGCGACATCTGTCACCCCATTGATCGCCAGGGTTGATTTGGCTGATTTGGCTGGCTAGGCCGCTCCATGTGAATCCTCGGTGGAAGAGGACGACCATCCCAGATAGGAGGAGTGTACCGTTCTTGGGTCAAGGGTGTACGATAGCTGCGCTCCCCTGCCAGAACCTCCAAACAAGCTCGAGAACTTGCTTGCATTAAGCAAGGACGAGGACGTAGCAATTAGAAAGAGTGTAGGTCTTGGGTGGATACCTGCGGAAGAGATATACGGGGGTGGGGGCCGGCACAGTGCACGCACCACCAGCGGGAAGGAATCTGGAGAGGCGGGGTGGTAGGCAGGACTCCTGGGTCCTAGGCAGGCAGAAGACCTGGGTCCTAGGGCTGAGGAGCCGAGGCGCCTGGGTGGTGGTGAAAGAGGCGTGGTGGGCGGTCTAACACTCAAGTACAAAGCGAAGGAGGGATCCCGGGTGCCGTGGGCGGGGAGAAGGCGAGAAGCCGGCCGGGATTCCTGGGTTTTCTAGGAAGGGATGGGAAGATCGAGCGGTTAACAAGCGGTCTGCGAAATTCCCTGGTCTGGCGTGGGAGCGGAGCGAGGTCTAGCCGTTCACAGTACCTGCGGGGGTCCAGGACTCCTGGGTTCCAAGGAAAGGGGAGAGAGAGGACCCAATGGTGGACTTTTGCCTCCTTACCTCTCGAATCGAATTAGCCAGTAACAAACTCGCTCCAGCAAGCAGCTGCGGGGTTGGCGCGGTGATCGGGCGATCGAGCGGCGGGCTTGGCAGAAGAGCGGTCGGTCGCGGCAGAACCCATGTCTCTCAATCGGCGGCGGCGGCTGTTTTTCTTCTGTGAATAGGAATAGAATGTTTGGATGCGTCGCTGTTGACGCCGAGTCTATATAAACACTCGTTCTAGGGGGATTACGTCACCACATTGTGACGTTGTGGAACGGGGCGGGGCCAGGGGGAGAGACGTGACCGAAGGAGGGTTCTGGGGAGAGGGAGGGGCGAGGAGTAGAGTATGGACGGGTGGGTTGGGAAACAAAACGTGAAACGAAAGTACTTGCCCCCGTCGTTGACTCTCCTAGTAGAAGAGAGGCTTCGTTCAGAAAATGCTCCTCGTACTTTCCATTTTCATTTTTTAAAACTGGTGGGATTTACCATGATCAATACAGAAATTAACTTTTCTTTTTTCCTGCCTAGAGCAGCCATTTGCAAGGTTTATTGTAGCATAACCTTTGTTTCATCACAGCTACCTGGCCATTTATTCTCAGCTGGCAAGTAACTGTCTATGACTCCTTTTTAATTCCACCCTTCCTCCAAGCAGCTCTGGGTGACTTGCAAAGTCCCTTTTACACCCCCTGTTTTATCTTCCCCAACAGGCAGGTTAGGCGGAGAGAAAGTTAGGTTCTTCTTTATTCAATATAAAGCAAAGTTGCTCACTTTGTAGGCACAGAACAAGAGGCTTTTTATCAGGGAACAGGCTAACAACAACAATAACAGCAGCAAGATGAAAGTCGCCACAAGGACAAGCTAAAAGGTGGAGTCTTGGCTCCAGTCCATAATAATTTGAGACAATAGTTAGTCATTATCAAGTATTAGTCACTTTCTATGCAATAGGAAGGATTACAAATTACCACTTTTTCTGTTTTTACCTGAAACAAGTGACCATCGCCAGTACTCATTTGCATGCTTCTTGCTTCTACTTTTCATGCAGATGGTCCCAGCTACAATCCTTGTAATCTCCAGGTAGAATGGAGAAATATTACCTGTACCAAACCCTGAAGAGCCCTCTAGTTTGGTGCAGAGACAATATTGAACTAGACGGGCTCAGTATAAGGCAATTTTTCTGTGTTCCACACCACAAGATCCATAGCCTTGCCCCATGATGCAACCATATTTATTCTAGCTTGCTGGACAAAAACGAAAGCAAAGGATTTACATCAGGTAAATGTACATCAGATACCCGCCCAATGAAGTTGAAAAAATAAATTGACAAGGCCAGACCAGTACAGTGGTACCTCGGGTTACAGACGCTTCAGGTTAGACTCCACTAACCCAGAAACAGTACCTCGGGTTAAGGACTTTACTTCAGGATGAGAACAGAAATTGCGCGGTGGCAGCGGGATGCCCCATTAGCTAAAGTCGTACCTCAGGTTAAAAACAGTTTCAGGTTAAGAATAGACCTCCAGAACGAATTAAGTTCTTAACCTGAGGTACCACTGTAACAGGAATAATCTACTACAGGACACACAGCGCAATATGTATACTTGCTATTGCATACATATTGTTGTACACAGCTCTGATATTTTGGAGAAGACAGCATATCAACACTTTTACAAATAAAAGGACAGAAACGTCACTTGTTACCCACAGCTCTTTTGTTTTTTAATTCCCTAAGAGCAGTGCTAATTTTTCTAGAAAAAGAGGTGCAGGGACTTGCCATGAACACCTCTCTTGTTCTCTTATTATGGATATGGTGCCCACCTGAGAGGGGCAGAACTGAGTTCCAGCTGGAAAAGAAAAGCCCTGCCCAATATATTATCAATGATCCACAGCCCATTTTGGACAACAGTATTAGCTGGAAGGCCTGTGCTTTCTTTCTCACAGCCCCCTGGGATTTAGGACCAAATCTGAACAATAACTGAAACAACCTAAGATAGAAACAGAGGGATCAGACCTTGCAACAAATCCAGGTGTCAACCAGTCAGGCGGATGAGAATTACAGGACATAATAACATCTGGGTCACTTTCAACCCAGTGGTATTGCTATCACCTGCTAATAATGTAAGAACCCAATTGTGAGGGGTGGGGTGGGGAATTGCACCTGATTAAGATCTGTTGTAATTTGATATTCCCTGTCCTGTTTTGGTTTCTCTTTCCGTTTTCCCCACTTGTTTTCATTTGTGGACAAGATATTTCTGGGGTATGCCATATGCAAGATGAAGAGGTAACCAGAACCACTAGATTCTTGGAAAGGGAGGGGGTTTATAGGCTAAGAATCTGGGTGGGTTGTGTAAGATTACAGGAAGAGTGTAGTTACAGGGTAGCTCGAGCCCCAGGTCTTTTCTGTCAAGTCCTAGATCTCTCTCTCTCTCTCTCTCTCTCTCTCTCTCTCGTAACTTACTGCTAAGCACAGTGTGAGTAACATCCCAGCAACCTACCATTGTAATTTGTCCAGAGGTCTATATACATGTAAATCAGCATATACGAATTTGTATTATGGGCTTGTGCCCTTTTAAGTACTGTACCTAGGAATGCTGTGCCTCATCCTGGATAAGATTGGAAATGTTCTTGGTGCCCGCCAGATTATTTGGATTACTACTCCCATCTACTGGGGATTACTACTCCCATCTACTGGAATCCAAAACTCCTAGGCTGCATACATGCCATAGGTGACTTCCCCAAAGAATCATGGGAATTGTAGTTTATCCTCCACAGAGCTACAATTCCTGGCATCCTTAACAAACTACAGTTCCCGGCATTCTTTTGTGTGTTTTTTGGGAAGGGGGGCATGCACTTTTAAAAGTATGGTGTGTATACAGCCCTAGGCTATTCTAGGAGTTTAAAACGGGTGGAATGATTGAGGGAGTTGGGTATGTTTAGCTTCGTAAAGAGGAGACAGAGGATATGCAATAGCCATTTTCATTTATCTAAAGGGCCGCTACATAGAGAGTGGAGCAACCTTGTTTTCTCTTGCTTCAGAGGGCAGGGCCCGAAACAATGGCTTCAGTTTAGAAGAAAGGAGATTCTGACTAAACATCAGGCTCTACAATTCTATAAATCTATGACTAAGAGCTAGCAGGTCAGAGGTGAAACTTGATGGACTCGTGCAATAAGGCTGCAATAAGCCTGCCTTATTCTGGAGTTTCTCAAAACTCCAAGCAGCTTTCTAGCAAGCAGTGTTGATGTAGAAGCAAGTCTGTTTCGTACCTGCAGCTTCCGCCCCCTAGACACACCTGTACCATCTCCAGGAACTTAGTAGGATTTAAATTACAGAGGCTGCTGCGGATAAGGATGGCTAAAAAGGGAGGCCTGATAGCTACATGAGCATTTAATGTACCGATTAACAACTGCTTGAAAGCAACGTTATAAATCAGGGAATCAAAGCACTGCAAATCTGCTTTTAAACGGGTCAATCTCTGTAGTGCTGGCATGAATTGTTCTGCCATAAAGCACTGCAGTTGCTGAAAAATGCAGTAGGAGGAGGACAACACACAAACCCTCCTGGCTCAATGAAACCTGAGAGGGAAGGCTGTGCAACACGCACATGTGCCTTGCAGCCTCTTAACATAAGAAGAGAAGACTAGGTCTGCTGGATAGGCCAATGCCCCATCTCGCCCAGCATCCTGTCTGTCCTCATAGCTGTCAAACATATGCATGTGGGAAGCTTGCAAACTGGACTTGAGCAGCAGCAGCTATTTTCCCCACCTGTGATTCCCAGGAAGTGGTGCTTAGAGGTATAGCACCTCTGGCAGTGGAGGTAGAATGTAGCCACTGTGGTTAGTTGCCATTGATAGCCTTGTCCTCCATGAATTTCATAGAATTGTAGCGTTGGAAGGGACCCTGAGGATCATCTAGCCCAACCCCCTGCAATGCAGGAATATGCAGCTGTCCCATATAGGGATCGAACCTGGAACCTTGTGTTATCAGCACCATGCTCCAACCAACTGAGCTATCCAGGCTCCAATTTGTCTAACCCTCTTCTAAGCTATCCAAGTTGCTGGCTATCACTGCCTCTTGTGGGAGTGAGTTCCATAGTCTCATTACGCACTGCACAAAGTGCTTCTGTTCTGCTGCTGGTGAAAAGGTGTGTTGCTGCTGAGCTCAGTGAGGTTAACGCACATCTGTGAGATGCACCATTCAAGCATGCAAAAAAAAAGAAGATTTTTTTCAGCTAATTATGGCAACTGGTTTGTAGTTCTGGCCTTTACATACAAAATACTGGCAGCTGGCCAAGAGGGTTTCCCCCCTTTTTTTGTTTTGTTTTTTTAAGCTTGGAAGTTCTGTTACATCCTGGTCATATTTCAATCCTGTGAGCAGGACACCTGGGTTCTCTGCCAGGCAAAGAGGTGCGTGGAAATAATAAGAATAAATAGAGAAATTATGGGTGTTGTGTAGGACTGGGAATCAAGCCCCACAGTCTGTTTTCACAAACACACCCCATTTGATTAAAATATAGCATGGTATCCCTGCCAGACACATGGTTGCATTTATATTATTTTTCAAATCAGGATAGGAAGCAGATTCAACGTCCCCTTTTGGGGGGAGAATCCCACCAGCAGGCGGCGCCAGAGGATGCACCTTCTCCTACACAAGGAGACATCCATATCACACACCAGTCAAAGAATGTCTTTCTTCTTTGACAACTTCCCAAATCCCTGTTTTTCTAAAGCTTTTGTGGCCACTCCTCTCTCTAAAGTTAAGGTCAGGAATTCGGACTCCTGTCTCCCCCTCTCATTACTCTCCTCGCCCCCCCTCTCTTTCTCTCTCTCTTTTTACCCTCCCCTCCTTCCCAAGCCAAGCCCCCAGGAAGGTGGAGTGGTGGGTCCCAGGATTGAAATTCAATCGCTCTGCTTTTATTCCTCCTCTCTCTTCCCCCCAGAGCTGCCAGGGAAAGGGAAAGGAGAGGGAGAGAAAACCGCGATTGGGAAGGTCGATAAGGAAGGGCTGGGAAAGGAGGACGGTGGAAGACCGACTTAGGTTGCTGTATTGATGAAAGAGCGAGGAAATTGGGCTGGTGGAAGGAGCAGAGAGATAGAAAGAGAGATAAGAGGAGTGGAGGGTATAGTTAGGGGGGGGAGAGAGATAAGGAAGGGGGTGGGTCATACTGGAGGCAGAAAAATAGAGGTGAATGTGTTCGAATGAAGAGAGCAAAGCAGGGCTTTGAAACCAAGTTCTGCTGAGCACCAGAGATCTGATTCTGTAGGGCATGAACCCAAGAAAGACTATAAAGTTTCCTGCCGCCAATGAGCCGATAAGGGGCTGCCTTCCTCCTCCTCCTCCTCTTCCTCCTCCTGAATCTGCTTAACCTGTAGGAGATACCTCTGGCCAACACCAGTGACCAGGTAAGACCATGGCGCCATGACATTGTTGCTCCTGTGCCTGATGGCCTTAGGGAGATGGGGGAGGCTTGTCCTCGGAAATCTGTTCCTCTGGATTCCCTACCCCCTCTGCCTTTTGAACATGGGTGGGTGGGAACCAAGGAATAATAATAATAATAATAATACTTTATTATTTATACCCTGCCCATCTGGCTGGGTTTCCCCAGCCACTCTGGGCGGCTTCCAACAGAACACTAAAACACAATAACATCATATTAAATGTTAAAAGCTTCCCTAAAGGAAGGGGCAGGTTTTGTGGGGCAAGCAGTTATCTTCTAGTTGTGTCTCCTTCCTGCCTTGATTGAGAAGAAGAGCATCTTATCAGAGAACAGTCCCTGTCTTCAGATCAGTCTCCTGCCTCTGTGGGCCCAGGACCCAAGATTCCTGAAGGATAAGGCTATCAAGGGATGCTAGCATTGGTGGGAATGCTCTCCCTCCACTGTTGTGCCTCTGAATGCCAAGTGGGGAGAGTTGCTGGGCCTTGGGGGGCTTCCCCCTGGGGTATCTGGTTGGCCACTGTAGGAACAGGCTCTGTAGGGCTAGATGCAGAATCTCTGGACGCCACAGTGTCCTCAGAGGATGCTCCTGAGGCATAGCAATGTCTCCGCTGCCTATCAACCTCTCTACATCAGTGGCCCCACGCTAGGTATTTTGGACCCTGCGGCTTTCCCTAGGCAATGCTCCTCGGGATCTAGGATTGCCAATGTCTCTCTGTGTGTGTTTTAAACTGGATTTCTTCCTGTGCTATGCAGAATGGAAGCAGGTGGATTCCTTCCCCACCCCCCTTCATGGAATAATTGAGAAAGCTTCACCTACTTCTTCTTTTGCTATGTTTGGCTGCTGTTTCAATAGCAGAGGAGCAAGGGTGGGCTGGGGAGTTGGCAACTTAGCCAGGTCTGCCGTGCTTCCTCACCACAGCGCCTCCTCTTTACCACTGGCCCTGATCGGGTTAAAACGCCTTTAAGCACAAGCTCTTTCCGACTGCTGGGTGTGTCGGGGTTATGCATGCGGACACACACACACACACACACACACAGACCCCTGTGACTGATGCAAAATATGTTTCCTCGCCCCCGCCACCAGCTGCCCTAGCGCCTTTTGTCTCAGCTGCTGCGTCCAAATGCCAGTGTATGAATAAATAACAAGAGCTAACGGCAGCCCGCCAGCTATTTCCACCCCACAGCCCTCTCTCTGCGCCCCCTGCCCCACCCAGCCCTCAGAGAATATAGGCCCACTTTTAGCCGTGGTCAGGGACCTACATCCCTCGCACTGCGGGCTGCCCAACAAAGATGAGACCATGCCTTGGGTCGGGGTGTGTGTGGCTCCTGGGCATATCAACCGGCAGATTGAACTCACTGTTGGCTGGCCCAGCCTCCTGTCACTACAAGGGTTTTGTCAGCCAGCTCATCCAGGGCTTTGCGCTTCGGTTGGCTGCACTGCTAAAGTCGCGCTGCAAGCTTTGGCCAATTAACCACTGGCAACTGGCAGACTGATGGTTAGATCCCTGATTCATCGGTGAGGCTGCTAGCACTTAAAAAGACTCGGAAAGGGCTGGCTCTGTGCAGGCCACAGATATGATCTGCGCAAGGTTCAGTCCCCAGCACCTCCAAGTATAGCGCTGCCTGAAAACCTGGAGAGGCACTCAGTGTAGACAGTTCTGAGGTACTTGGACGAATGGCCTGAATCAATATAAAGTACCTTCCTACGGTCGTATGCACTGTATAAATGCAAAAAGTTGGCATAACACACATGAAGGAGACACATCGCCTGGATGTCCTTTCTTGGGTACTAGAACATTTTGGGATAACCTGACCTTCAACGCTCCAGTTTTGATGAAGAATCTTGGGGAGCGTTCCCCCTCTTACTCTGGTGCACAAACAAAATACAGTGATACCTCGGGTTAAGTACTTAATTCATTCCAGAGGTCTGTTCTTAACCTGAAACTGTTCTTAACCTGAAGCACCACTTTAGCTAATGGGGCCTCCTGCTGTCGCAGTGCCACCGGAGCACGATTTCTGTTCTCATCCTGAAGCAAAGTTCTTAACCTGAGGTAATATTTCTGGGTTAGCGGAGTCTGTAACCTGAAGCGTATGTAACCCGAGGTACCACTGTACAGCTGCAACTGTATATAATTTCACATTTACCTACCATAGATGGCAGGAGCCGGTGTTAAATCCTGTGTTTATATGGCGTCAGACACAGCTGCAGGGCGATAGAAATAATAACAGTAGTAAGAGCTGGTGCAGCACAGTGGCTAAAAGGCTGGGCTACAAATGAGGAAGTCCACCCAGTTTGAATCTGCCTCAAGCTCACTTGATGGCCTGAGGTAAACTCCTCCCCATCGCCCTCGGTTTTTCCCTTCTGCAGTATTGGCACGGGGGGGGGCGTTCTTAACATGGACCTACTTTACAGGGTTGTTGTAAAGATTTCAACTGGATACTACATGTGCATTGAACTCTCAACAGTGCTATGCGAATGCTAAATGAGCTTATTACCCATAATAATACTTTAGTTCCTAATCTCCCCATCCCTACAGACCACCTGAAAATTGCTGAAGGACTTGGCAGAGGATTTAATGATTAGACTGCCTTGTGGAGCAATTGTAATGAACTGTTCTAGATGTTCTGCGATTTATGTTGATTCAGTCAGGATGAAACTTCCTAATTCTAGCCCTGCATTCACTTCACTGCTGATCCTCTCCACTCCTTTCAAGTGCCTCTTCCGTACCTACCTGTCTCTGATCCATCCCACTCACACCTTCTGGGCAGAGGTTGGGTGGCCACCTGTCTTGGGTCCTTTTGTTGAGGTTCTTGCATTGCAGGGGGTTGGACTAGATGACCCTTGGATCCCTTACAACTCTCCGATTCTGTGATTCTAAGGACTGCCGGGAGCAACTGCGTCTGCCATTTACAGACACTGCTCCTTCTGTTCTTCACTGCCCCATTGCAGAGTAGCTGAATGAAGCTCACAGACCATTAATGGCCAATGGAGCACAGTTGGGGAATCCCTACTTTAGAGAAGGTGCCGTCTTCATTGTGGGTTTTGCAATACAGTGAGCCTGCAACTTACACAAGGGTTACGGTACATTCCGGGGATCGCCAGAATCATATACAGTGAAAACACGTTGGCTTCAATGGTGTGTGGGATTGCCAAAGTCTTTATTCCCAGATTCCTGCTCCCTTTCCTCCCAGCTTTTAAAAATTGTAACTTTCCCCCCCCCTACAAGCATGTAAAGCTGAATGTGCACAAGTTAAATGCGCATAAGTTGCAGTCTTACTGTACATGAACGTCCACTTAAGTAATAAATTCACTGAATAATAAGTCTGCATAACTCGTTGTATTAATAAATCCTGATTGCCTTGGCCGTTCCTGATCAACGTATGGTCGTCTTCAATTTGCCTTCTTGGGAGTGTTTTTGGAAAGGTTCCTGCAGAAGAATCCATGTGGAAAACATTATAGAACTGATCATTCTTGTGGGTTCTTGAGTAATGAGTCGGAGCCAGCAGGAATCTAGCAGGCCTTTGCTTCAAAATTGAAATGAATGACCTATTCTGATATAATATTTTCCATGTGGCTTTAGGCATCAAAGCACTCCCACTAAGGAAGGCATAACCTTAAAAACAACAACACCTAATTGGTAGTTTTATTTGCTGTGATTTCTTGAGTGCCTTACCAACCAGATAAACAAGATAAGCTTTGCAAGAGAGGAGTTGCAGGATCAAAGCTTCTTGCCAAAGTTCAACTCCTTTGTAGGTTAATCAACTGCCCAATCCTGCTCAGGGAGGCTTACCTCTTAGTTGAGTTGGACTTATTCCCGGGAGGATAAAGAGTGCCTAGGATTTCAGTCAAACTGCAATCCTATATGGGTTGACTTAGAACTAAGTTCCATCGAGATGAATGGGGCTTACTCCTAGGTAATTTGGGAATAAGATCTTAAGTAATTCCGTGGACAGTACAAAGAGTCAGTTGCACTTTCTTGGCACTAGTATATGCAGCAGTTTACATGCCTGCAGTACAATCTCATGTTTCAACCAACATATGGGAATCATGTTACTAAAACAGAAGTTACTTCCATGTAGAGATCCGGTAATGGGAAACAGCCTATAGAACCAGAGCAGGCTGGCGGTGAAAGAATCTTGAAAGAATTTCAGTCTAACTTTGTGGCTTTGAAATATGGCAATAGAAAATACATGGAATATTTTTGCTCTTCATGTATCTTTAGGAATCTACCTTGGACAGTTTGTTTGTTTGTTTGTTTGTTTGTTTGTTTGTTTGTTTGCTTGCTTGCTTGCTTGCTACGTATTCCCCTCTTAAGATATCTCTTTATCAAATTCTGCCCAATGGCTCCTGAGATCAAAAAAGCAGGTTTTCTTCTGTGTTTGGATACAGTTGGGTGCCATTTTGAATCGTGATGGTGGATGGAACCCTTCAGAATTGCTCTGATTGTGACCACTGATTTCAAAACTGCACTAATTTGGAAGTTTCTTAGAATTCCTGAGAAATGCCTAGTACAGTGGTACCTCGGGTTACATACGCTTCAGGTTACATACGCTTCAGGTTACAGACTCTGCTAACCCAGAAATATTACCTCAGGTTAAGAACTTTACCTCAGGATGAGAACAGAAATTGCGCTCCGGCGGCATGGCAGCAGCAGGAGGCCCCATAGCTAAAGTGGTGCTTCAGGTTAAGAACAGTTTCAGGTTAAGTACGGACCTCCGGAACGAATTAAGTACTTAACCCAAGGTACCACTGTACGAGGCGGCTAGTGGAATTGAAACAAGGAATCGGTGTTAGATAATCAAGGTGATAATTAAGAATGGAGGAAGGAACATTGAGTGAATCAAGAAAATGATTAGAGTGAAAGGAGAGTAAAGTCAAGATAGAAGAAGAGATTAAAGAAACAATGAAATGTGTTTAAGCTAGTTGGAAAAATAAAGTAGCGTAACAAGAACAGCTGGAAGTCA